TGGAAAGGCTCGCCTAAGAGATTCGAACTCTCACGAGGAAACCACATGTACTTAGCAGGCACACGCCTTAACCACTCGACCAAAGCGACTTTTTTGTTGTATGAATGAGTCTCGAAGAGACTCTCAAGGAGAGGGAGAAGTTGGTCACATATTTTTTTTGAAGGTACGGGCATACTCAGCAACAAGTTTGGTGCCGTATTTCTTCAACTGCAAGTCATCCTTGAGTCTCAAGTTCACGAGCTTTTGAATGATGGTTGAACATAGTTTCCAATGCGAGCCAAACGTCACATGCAATAGAGATACAAACGACGACAGCAATGGCTTCCTCGGTGAGAGAGGAGAGTAGGAGAAAGAGAAGCCATTGATCGACTGCTCCACGGCAAATATTTGGTGTTGAGTGTTGAGGAGGTTTCTTGTTCAATGCAAGGTGGTAGAACCATTGTTCCATCAACATAGCCCAACATATCTTGTGCCTAATATTTGGTGTTGTGTGTTGATGAGGTTTCTTGTCAAAGCAAGGTGATAGAACCATTGTTCCATCAACATACTCCAACATGTCTTGTGCCTTTTTTCCTACGGTAAATAACTTGGAATTCTTGAAACTCGTGCTGTATGTTTTTTAAACCACGCAAAATTTAGCTTATTGTCGCCGTTCAATTTCTTGAAACCTCAAATATTGGGAAGTGACAAATATAGCCCAACATGTCTTATGCCTTTTTTCCCGTTTGTAAATAACTTGGAATTTTTGCAACTTAGACTCGTGTTATATGTATTTTAAACCACGCAAAATTTAGCTTATTGTCGCCCTTCAATTTTTTGAAACCTCAAGTATTGGGAAGTGACAGATATAGCCCAACATGTCTTGTGGCTCCCGTTTGTAAATGACTTGAAATTTTTGAAACCCAAACTCATGTTGTATGTCTTTTGAACCACACAAAATTTAGCTAATTGTCGCCCTTCAATTTCTTGAAACCTCAAGTATTGGGAAGTGAAATATATAGCCCAACATGTCTTGTGCCTTTTTACCGGTTTGTAAATAACTTGAAATTTTTGAAACTCGTGTTGTATGTCATTTATACGGCGCAAAATTTAGATGAGAAGTGACAGATGTTTTGTGCCTTTTTTCTGGTTTGTAAATAACTTGAAATTTTTGAAACTCGTGTTATATGTCATTTATACGGCGCAAAATTTAGATGAGAAGTGACAGAAACATTCCTTGTAATAGTGTGGAAACCTCTACGCATTGTCGAGGCAACGGGCAAAAACGAAACTTTCGTCGCCTGAGAGATTCAAACTCTCGCGGGGAAACCCCATGTACTTAGCAGGCACACGCCTTAACCACTCGGCCAAAGCGACTTTTTTGTTGTATGAATGAGTCTCGAAGAGACTCTCAAGGAGAGGGAGAAGTTGGTCACATATTTTTTTGATGGTACGGGCATACTCAGCAACAGGTTTGGTGCCGCATTTCTTCAGGTGCTAGTCATCCTTGAGTCTCAAGTTCACAAGCTTTTGAATGATGGTTGAACATAGTTTCCAATGCGAGCCAAATGTCACATGCAGTGGAGATACAAACGACGACAACAATGGCTTCCTCGGTGAGAGAGGAGAGCAGGAGAAAAAGAAGCCGTTGATCGACTGCTTTCCACGCCAAATATTTGGTGTTGAGTGTTGAGGAGGTTTCTTGTTAGAAGCCGTTGATCGACTGCTTTCCACGCCAAATATTTGGTGTTGAGTGTTGAGGAGGTTTCTTGTTCAAAGCCGTTGATCGACTGCTTTCCACGCCAAATATTTGGTGTTGAGTGTTGAGGAGGTTTCTTGTTCAATGCAAGATCGTAGAACCATTGTTCCATCAACATAGCCCAACATGTCTGGTGCCTTTTTTCTTGTTCAATGCAAGATCGTAGAACCATTGTTCCATCAACATAGCCCAACATGTCTGGTGCCTTTTTTCTTGTTAGCCCAACATTTTGCTTCGTGTTGTATGTCTTTTAAACCACGCAAAAACATGTCTGGTGCCTTTTTTCTTGTTAGCCCAACATTTTGCTTCGTGTTGTATGTCTTTTAAACCACGCAAAAACATGTCTGGTGCCTTTTTTAGCCCAACATTTTGCTTCGTGTTGTATGTCTTTTAAACCACGCAAAAACATGTCTGGTGCCTTTTTTCTTGTTAGCCCAACATTTTGCTTCGTGTTGTATGTCTTTTAAACCACGCAAAAACATGCCTGGTGCCTTTTTTCTTGTTAGCCCAACATTTTGCTTCGTGTTGTATGTCTTTTAAACCACGCAAAATTTAGCTTATTGTCGCCCTTCAATTTCTTGAAACCTCAAGTATTGGGAAGTGACAACAAAAAGGAAACTTTCGTCGCCTGAGAGATTCAAACTCTCACAGGGAAACCCCATGTACTTAGCAGGCACATGCCTTAACCACCCAGACAAAGCGACTTTTTTGTTGTGTGAATGAGTCTCGAAGAGACTCTCAAGGAGAGGGAGAAGTTGGTCACATATTTTTTTGAAGGTACGGGCATACTCAGCAATACGTTTGGTACCGCATTTCTTCAGCAACAAGTCATCCTTGAGTCTCAAGTTCATGAGCTTTTGAATGATGGTTGAACATAGTTTCCAATGCGAGCCAAATGTCACATGCAGTGGAGATACAAACGACGACGACAATGGCTTCCTCGGTGAGAGAGGAGAGCAGGAGAAAGAGAAGCCGTTGATCGACTGCTTTCCACGCCAAATATTTGGTGTTGAGTGTTAAGGAGATTTCTTGTTCAATGCAAGGTGGTAGAACCAATGTTCCATCAACATAGCCCAACATATCTTGTGCCTAATATTTGGTGTTGTGTGTCTAGGAGGTTTCTTGTTCAAAGCAAGGTGGTACAAGCATTGTTCCATCAACATAGCCCAACATGTCTTGTGCCTTTTTTCCATCTGTAAATAACTTGGAATTCCTGAAACTCGTGCCGTATGTCTTTTAAACAACGCAAAATTTAGCTTATTGTCGCCGTTCAATTTCTTGAAACCTCAAATATTGGGAAGTGACAAATATAGCCCAACATGTCTTGTGGCTTTTTTCCCGTTTGTAAATAACTTGAAATTTTTGAAACTCAGACTCGTGTTGTATGTCTTTTAAACGAGGCAAAATTTAGCTTATTGTCGCCCTTCAATTTTGAAACCTCAAGTATTGGGAAGTGACAAATATAGCCCAATATGTCTTGTGCCTTTTTCCGGTTTGTAAATAACTTGGAATTTTTGAAACTCGTGTTGTATGTAATTTATACGCAAAATTTAGATGGGAAGTGACAGCAAAAAGAAAATTTTCGTCGCTTGAGAGATTCGAATTCTCGCGGGGAAACCGCATGTACTTAGCAGGCACACACCTTAACCACTCAGCCAAAGCGACTTTTTCATTGTATGAATGAGTCTTGAAGAGACTCTCAAGGAGAGGGAGAAGTTGGTCACATATTTTTTTGAAGGTACGGGCATACTCAGCAACAGGTTTCGTGCCGCGTTTCATCAGCTGCAAGTCATCCTTGAGTCTCAGTTCACGAGCTTTTGAATGATGGTTGAACATACTTTCCAATGCGAGCAAAACGTCACATGCAGTGGAGGTACAAACGACGACAACAATGGCTTCCTCGGTGAGAGAGGAGAGCAGGAGAAAGAGAAGCCGTTGATCGACTGCTTTCCACGCCAAATATTTGGTGTTGAGTGTTGAGGAGGTTTCTTGTTCAATGCAAGATCGTAGAACCATTGTTCCATCAACATAGCCCAACATGTCTGGTGCCTTTTTTCCTTCTGTAAATAACTAGGAATTCCTGAAATCCATCAACATAGCCCAACATGTCTGGTGCCTTTTTTCCTTCTGTAAATAACTAGGAATTCCTGAAACTCGTGCTCTATGTCTTTTAAACCACGCAAAATTTAGCTTATTGTCACCCTTCAATTTCTGAAACTCGTGTTGTATGTCATTTATACGCAAAATTTAGATGGGAAAGGACAGCAAAAGGGAAACTTTCATCGCCTGAGAGATTCAAACTCTCGCGGGGAAACCCCATTTACTTAGAAAGCACACGCCTTAACCACTCGGCCAAAACAACTTTTTTGTTGTATGAATGAGTCTCGAAGAGACTCTNAATTTTCGTCGCTTGAGAGATTCGAATTCTCGCGGGGAAACCGCATGTACTTAGCAGGCACACACCTTAACCACTCAGCCAAAGCGACTTTTTCATTGTATGAATGAGTCTTGAAGAGACTCTCAAGGAGAGGGAGAAGTTGGTCACATATTTTTTTGAAGGTACGGGCATACTCAGCAACAAGTTTGGTGCCGCATTTCTTCAGCTGCAAGTCATCCTTGAGTCTCAAGTTCACGAGCTTTTGAATGATGGTTGAACATAGTTTCCAATGCGAGCCAAACGTCACATGCAGTGGAGATACAAACGACGACAACAATGGCTTCCTCGGTGAGAGAGGAGAGCAGGAGAAAGAGAAGCCGTTGATCGACTGCTTTCCACGCCAAATATTTGGTGTTGAGTGTTGAGGAGGTTTCTTGTTCAATGCAAGATCGTAGAACCATTGTTCCATCAACATAGCCCAACATGTCTGGTGCCTTTTTTCCTTCTGTAAATAACTAGGAATTCCTGAAACTCGTGCTCTATGTCTTTTAAACCACGCAAAATTTAGCTTATTGTCACCCTTCAATTTCTTGAAACCTCAAGTGTTGGAAGTGACAGATACAGATATAGCCCAACATGTCTTGTGCCTTTTATCCGGTTTGTAAATAACTTGAAATTTTTGAAACTCGTGTTGTATGTCATTTATACGCAAAATTTAGATGGGAAGTGACAGCAAAAAAGAAACTTTCGTCGCCTGAGAGATTCGAACTCTCGCGGGGAAACCCCATGTACTTAGCAGGCACACGCCTTAACCACTCGGCCAAAACGACTTTTTTGTTGTATGAATGAGTCTCGAAGAGACTCTCAAGGAGAGGGAGAAGTTGGTCACATATTTTTTTGAAGGTACGGGCATACTCAGCAACAGGTTTGGTGCCGCATTTCTTCAGGTGCAAGTCATCCTTGAGTCTCAAGTTCACGAGCTTTTGAATAATGGTTGAACATAGTTTCCAATGCGAGCCAAATGTCACATGCAGTGGAGATACAAACGACGACAACAATGGCTTCCTCGATGAGAGAGGAGAGCAGGAGAAAGAAAAGTCGTTGATCGACTGCTTTCCACGCCAAATATTTGGTGTTGAGTGTTGAGGAGGTTTCTTGTTCAATGCCGTTGATCGACTGCTTTCCACGCCAAATATTTGGTGTTGAGTGTTGAGGAGGTTTCTTGTTCAATGCAAGATCGTAGAACCATTGTTCCATCAACATAGCCCAACATATCTGGTGCCTTCGGTGCCTTTTTTCCTTCTGTAAATAACTAGGAATTCCTGAAACTCGTGCTATATGTCTTTTAAACCACGCAAAATTTAGCTTATTATCGCCCTTCAATTTCTTGAAACCTCAAGTATTGGGAAGTGACAGCAAAAAGGAAACTTTCGTCGCTTGAGAGATTCAAACTCTCACGGGGAAACCCCATGTACTTAGCAGGCACACGCCTTAACCACTCGGCCAAAGAAACTTTTTTGTTGTATGAATGAGTCTCGAAGAGACTCTCAAGGAGAGGGAGAAGTTGGTCACATATTTTTTTGAAGGTACGTGCATACTCAGCAACAGGTTTGGTGCCGCATTTCTTCAGCTGCAAGTCATTCTTGAGTCTCAAGTTCACGCGCTTTTGAATGATGGTTGAACATAGTTTCCAATGCGAGCCAAACGTCACATGCAGTGGAGATACAAACGACGACAACAATGGCTTCCTCGGTGAGAGAGGAGAGCAGGAGAAAGAGAAGCCGTTGATCGACTGCTTTCCACGCCAAATATTTGGTGTTGAGTGTTGAGGAGGTTTCTTGTTAAATGCAAGGTGGTAGAACCATTGTTCCATCAACATAGACCAACATGTCTTGTGCCTTTTTTCCTTCTGTGAATAACTTGGAATTCCTGAAACTCGTGCTATATGTCTTTTAAACCACGCAAAATGTTGTTTATTGTCGCGGTTCAATTTCTGGAAACCTCAAATATTGGGAAGTGACAAATATAGCCCAACATGTCTTGTGCCTTTTTTCCGGTTTGTAAATAACTTGAAATTTTTGAAACTCAAACTTGTGTTATATGTCTTTTAAACAACGCAATATTTAGCTTATTGTCGCCCTTCAATTTCTTGAAACCTCAAATATTTGGAAGTGACAGATATAGCCCAACATGTCTTGTGCCTTTTTTCCTTCTGTAAGTAATTTGGAATTCCAGAAACTCGTGTTGTATGTCTTTTAATCCACGCAAAATTTAGCTTACTGTCGCCGTTCAATTTCTTGAAACCTCAAATAATGGGAAGTGACAGATCCCATATTGGTTAAAGAGGAAAACAAAGTATTGCTCGTACTAGTTTGGAAACCTCTACTCGTTGGTGACGTAACAGGCAAAAAGGAAATTTTCATCACGTGAGAGATTCAAACTCTCGCGAGGAAAGCCCATGTACTTAGCAGGCACACACCTTAACCATTCGGCCAAAGCGACTTTTTTGTTGTATGAATGAGTCTCGAAGAGACTCTCAAGGAAAGGGAGAAGTTGGTCACATATTTTTTTTGAAGGTACGGGAAGACTCAGCCACAGGTTTGGTGTCGCGTTTCATTAGCTGCAAGTCATCCTTGATTCTTAGTTCACGGTTTTTCGAATGATGGTTGAATATAGTTTCCAACTCGAGCCAAACGTCACGTGCAGTGGAGAGATTAACGATGACAACAATTGCTTCCTCGGTGAGAGAGGAGAATAGGAGACAGAGAAGTTGTTGATCGACTGCATTTTCTCCAAATATTTGATGTTGAGTGTTGAGGAGGTTTCTTGTTCAAAACAAGGTGGTAGAACCACTGTTTCATTGACATAGCCCAACATATCTGGTGCTTAATATTTGGTGTTGAGTGTTGAAGAGGTTTCTTGTTCAAAGCAAAGTGGTAGAACCATTGTTCCATCACATATCCGGGCATCTCTTGTGCCTTTTTTTCCTTCTATAAATAACTTGGAATCTATTCCAACATGTCTTGTGTCTTTTTTTTCCTAAGGTAAAACAGCATGTTTGGTGCCTTTTTTCCTTCCGTAAATAATTTGGAATTTATCCCCGTATGTCTTGTGCCTTTTTTCTGTATGTGTATGTCTTCTTTTTTTCCTTCGGTAAATAACTTGAATTTCTGAAACTCCTGATGTATGTCTTCTTTTTTTTCCTTCTGTAAATAACTTGGAATTTATCCTAGCATGTCTTGTGCCTTTTTTTCCTTCTGTAAATAACTTGGAATTTATCCCAGCATGTCTTGTGCCATTTTTTCCTTTAGTAAATAACTTGGAATTTATCCCAGTATGTCTCATGTCTTGTGCCTTTTTTTCCTTCTGTAAATAATTTGGAATTTTTTAAACTCGTGTTGTATGTCACTTATACGGCACCCAACATGTCTCATGTCTTGTGCCTTTTTTGCCTTCTGTAAATAACTTGGAATTTTTTAAACTCGTGTTGTATGTCACTTATACGGCACAAAATTTATCTTACTATTGCTTTTTCCTTCTATTTATTAGTATGTCACTTATACAGCACAAAATTTATCCCATATCGGTTGCGGAGGACAAACCATTCCTTGTAATAGTGTGGAAACCTCTACGCGTTGCTGAGACAACGAGCAGAAAGGAAATTTTTGTCGCCTGAGAGATTTCGAACTCTCGCGAGGAAACCCCTTGTACTTAGCAGGCACACACCTTAACCACTCAGACAAGCGACTTTTTTGTTGTATGAATGAGTCTCGAAGAGACTCTCAAAGAAAGGGAGAAGTTGGTCACATATTTTTTTGAAGGTACGAGCATACTCAGCAACATGTTTGTGTCGCGTTTCATCAGCTGCAAGTCATCCTTGATTCTTAGTTCACGAGCTTTCAAATGATGGTTGAATGTAGTTTCCAACTCGAGCCAAATGTGGAGAGATCAACGACGACAACAATTGCTTACTCGTGAGAGAGGAGAGTAGGAGACAGAGAAGCCGTTGGTCGACTGCTTTTCACGCCAAATATTTGGTGTTGAGTGTTGAGGAGGTTTCTTGTTCAAAACAAGGTGGTAGAACCACTGTTTCATATTTGGTGTTGAGTGTTGAGGAGGTTTCTTGTTCAAAACAAGGTGGTAGAACCACTGTTTCATATTTGGTGTTGAGTGTTGAGGAGGTTTCTTGTTCAAAACAAGGTGGTAGAACCACTGTTTCATATTTGGTGTTGAGTGTTGAGGAGGTTTCTTGTTCAAAACAAGGTGATAGAACCACTGTTTCATATTTGGTGTTGAGTGTTGAGGAGGTTTCTTGTTCAAAACAAGGTGGTAGAACCACTGTTTCATATTTGGTGTTGAGTGTTGAGGAGGTTTCTTGTTCAAAACAAGGTGGTAGAACCACTGTTTCATATTTGGTGTTGAGTGTTGAGGAGGTTTCTTGTTCAAAACAAGGTGATAGAACCACTGTTTCATATTTGGTGTTGAGGAGGTTTCTTGTTCAAAACAAGATGGTAGAACCACTGTTCCATATTTGGTGTCATGTGCCTTTTTTCCTTGAAACCTCAAATATTGGGCAACAGGCAAAAATGAAATTTTCGTCGCCTGAGAGATTCAAACTCTCGCAGGGAAATCCCATGTACTTAGCAAGCACACACCTTAACCACTTGGCCAAAGCAACTTTTTTGTTGTATGAATGAGGCTTGAAGACACTCTCAAGGAAAGGGAGAAGTTGGTCACATATTTTTTTTCTTTGAAGGTATGGGCATACTCAGCAACAGGTTTGGTGCCGCGTTTCATTAGCTGCAAGTCATCCTTGACTTTTCAGTTCACCGGCTTTTGAATGATGGTTGAATGTAGTTTCCAACTCACGATGACAACAATGGCTTCCTCGGTGAGAGGGCTTTTGAATGATGGTTGAATGTAGTTTCCAACTCACGATGACAACAATGGCTTCCTCGGTGAGAGGATGGTTGAATGATGGTTGAATGTAGTTTCCAACTCACGATGACAACAATGGCTTCCTCGGTGAGAGGATGGTTGAATGTAGTTTCCAACTCACGATGACAACAATGGCTTCCTCGGTGAGAGAGAAGAGTAGGGACTTTTCAG